GAGCAACTCTCAGATGAGCGTCTGGGCAACTGGAGACGGCAGCCTTCCCAAGCTGACATTGAACTGATCATCACAATGCCCACTTTAAGAAAATTTTATAAATGTATAGACATACCTCATGGCATTTCACAGACACTGTGTTTTCTACAAACTGAAGGTTTAGGGCTGGGGCATGGCTCAAGAGGTAGAGTGCCTGCCTCAAAAGCACAAAGCTCTGAGTTCAAACTCTAGTACCGCAAAAAAAATAAAAAACAAAACCAAAAAAACGAAGGTTTGTAGCAAGCCTGCATTGAGCAAGTCCATGGTCAGCATCATTTTCCACAATGCTATGTGGTCACTTACATTTGATAGTTCTCCCATTATTTCAAACTTTTTCATTATTACTATATCCATTTTAAGACCTACAATCAGTGTGAGTCTTAATGTTACTGCTGTAACTGCTTTGAGGTGCTACAAGCCTCACACATGTAAGACAGCAAACTGAGCTAATAACTGCTGACTGCTACCCAACTGGCCATCCCAGGCTCTCCTTCTCTTTGGGACGCTGCCTTAGTCCCTGAGAAACAACAATATTGAAAATATTGAAATTAAGCCAAAAATAACCCTACAATGGTCCTTGTGTGTTCAAGTAAAAGAAAGAGTCTCTCACTTTAAGTCAAGAGCTAGAAGTGACTACGCTTAGTGAGGAGGGCAAAAGGAGACAGTCCAAAAGCTAAGCTTCCTGCATCAAACAGTAAGTTGTGAAAGCAAAGGAAAAGTTTCTGAGTGAAATGAAAAGTGCTATTCCAGTGCTACTCGTGCAAACTGCCTTATTACTAATGTGAAGGCAGGTTCAGTGGTCTAGATTGAAGATCAAACCAGCCACACAGTCCCTTAAGCCAAACCCTAACCCTCTTCATGTGTGTGAAGGCTGAGCAGGAAGACTCTGAGAAGAAGTGTGCAGCCAGCAGAGGTTGTTCATGAAGGCTAGAAAGAAGCCATCTCTGCAACACAGTACAAGTGACACACAGTGCTGGTGTAGAAGCTGCAGCTTCTACCTTCCCCAGAAGCTCGAGCCAAGGTCACTGGTGAAGGTGGCTGTGCTAAACACATTTTCAATGCAGACAAAACAGCCCTCATGAGAAGATCCCATCCAGGACTTGCACAGCTAGAGAGAAGTCAATGCCTGCTTCAGAGCTTCACAGGGCCTGCTGGTTTTCTTGCTTGGGACTGAGGCTGACCTGAAGTTGAAGCCAATGCTTATTTACCATTCCCCAAATCCTCTGCCTGTTCTCTGTAAAAGCAACAAAGCCAGGATGAGAGCACATCTGTTTACATTTTTATTCCACTGTTCAGAACTACTGCTCAGACAAAAAGATTCCTTTCAAAATGAGTGCTCACTGACAGTGCAGCACCTGGTCACCAAGAGCTCTGACGGAAATGGAAAATGAAACTGTTTTCACATCTTCTAATGCAGTATCTATTCTGTAAGGAGTGACTTCAACTCTAAAGTCTTAAGAAATACATCTCCTAAGGCTGGAGCTGCCAAAGTAATTCCTCTGATGGAGCTGAGCGAAGTAAACGGAAATCTCCATTCTAGATTCCAGTAAGAACATCTGTGAGTGGCTAGGCATGGTGGCATGCACCTATCATCCCAGATACAAGGGGGAGCATAAATAGGAGGATCACGGTCCAGGCAAGCCAGGCAAAAAGCAAGACCCTATCTCAAAAGTATCCAATGCATAAAGGGCTGGTGAAATAGCTCAAGTCCAGTACTGCTACAAAAAAAAATTCATAGGCTGGACTGGTGTTGCACGCCTAGAATCCCAGCACTCAGGAGGCTGAGGCAGAAGGAATGCGAGTTCAAGGCCAGCAAGATCCTATCTCAAACAAACAAAATCAGATTCATTAACAGGAGTTTGGAAGAGGTTGACTGCAACACTCACAGCTGACTCTAGGGCTGAGAGGAGGAAGTCACCACAGATGTGGGGAAACAACAAGAGAACTAGAAGTGGTCTGACAGCGGCCACCAAGCTGCGCTGCCATCTCCTGATCAGCCGTGACAGATGAGGAGCACTTCATGGATGAGCAAAGAAAGTGGTTTTGGGGGGTTTTTTTTTGGTAGTACTAGGGCTTGAACTTGGGGCTTCCAATTGCTAGGCAGGTGCTCTACCACTTGAACCACCCATCACACTACCCCTTTTTTGTGGTAGATTTTTTGAGATAGGGTCTCATGAACTATTTGCCAGGACTCGCTTCGAACCAGGATCCTCCTGATCTCTGCCTCCTTAGTGGCTCGGAGGCACATAGACAAGAAAGCAGTTTTTTGAGGTGGCATCTACTCCTAGTGAAGACACTGCCATCATTGAAATGGCACAAAGCATTCAGAATGTCACAAAGACTCAGCTGACAAAGCAGCAGCAGGGTGGAGAGGACTGGCTCCAGTTCTTTTTCCTTTTTATTTTGGGCAGTACTGGGGTTTGAACTCAGGGCCTCACGCTCACTGGGAAGGCGCTCTACCATTTGAGCCCCACCCCAGCCCTGACTCCACTTTAGACAGATGTTCTACTGTGGTAGAAATGCACCACATGCCACAGAGAAAGCCTTCCTGAGAGGAAGCTTCGGTCATTGTGGCAAAATTCACTGTTGCTTTAAGAAACTGGCACAGCCACCTGACCTTCTTCAACACTGTCCTGATTAGTCAGTGAACATCGACACTGAGGCGAGACCACCACTAGCAAGAAGATGACAGCTTGCCCAAGGCTCGGACAATGGGATGACTGCTAGTAATTTTTAACAAGGTTTTCTGTTTGTTTGTTTTCTAGATAGGGTCTTGCTGTGTAGCTCAGGCTGGCCTTAAACTCGCAATTCTGCTTCAGCCTCCCAAGTACTGGGATTATAAGTATGCACCATCATGCCTGACAGCAATAAAGCTCTTTCTATTTAATTTTTTGGCGGTACTGGGATTTGAACTTAGGACCTTCCACTTGCTAGGCAAGCAATCTACCACTTGAGCCATGCCTACCCCAGACCTTTTTTTTGGCTTTAGTTATTTTTTGGATAGGGGTCTCACACTTTTTGCCCAGGGCTAGCCTTGGGCTATAATCCTCCTATCTACACCTCCCACATAGCTGGGATTACAGGCATGCCTTACCTCACCTGTTTGTTGAGATAGGGTTTCATCCAACTTTTTGCTCAGGATGGCCTCAAGCCCAATCCTCTTGATCTCTGTCCCCCAAGAAGCTGGGATTACAGAAATGTACCACTACCCTCAACAATAAAGTATTTTTTAATTAAAGTATATATATTGGGTTTTTAGATATAATACATGACGCATGTAATATACTGCAATGCAATGTAAATTTGTGTATGTGTGTGGTGCTGGGGATCAAAGCCAGGGACTGCAAATGTTAGGCAAGCACTCTACCACTGAGCTACACCCCAGTCTAAACATAACTTCTGAATGCACTGGGAAACCAAAACATTCCTAATTTATTTTATTGCAATTTTCTCCTTACGAGCATAGTGTGGAACTGTACCAGTGAGGGCTTTCCAGCTTGTAGATGGCAAACCAAACCTACAATACCTCTGAGATATGCCTACGTTTAAAAATCCCCTTACCATGCAAGTTCAGAATGGTTCCAAACTTTTGCCGGTACAAGTAATGCTGGAATCAATGAAACTGAAGTAAATGCACAATGCTACAGACTGAATGAAGCATCAGTCTGCCGAATCCTAACTCCAAGACAAAGGTATGAGGAGGTAGTGCTGTGGGAGGTGGTCGGGTCAAGAGGGCTTTCCCAGCACTGGGATTAGTGCCTCATAAGGGAAACCCCAAAGGACTCTCTCACCCGTTACCATGAACGGAGACAGGGGAGGCAGAGGTCTGTCAGCCACAACAGACTGCCCACCCACAACTTCATGGTGGCCCTCCAGGCTCCAGGATCAGAACAGGATGCTTCTGAGGTTTACCACCACCCATGCTGTGGTATTTTGTTACAACAGCCTGCTCAAAGACAAGCAACTTTGTATATTCCATCTTCATCCCTCACAGCTTGCTACTTTAAAGACAAGCTACACTTAGAACTCCAGAAAAGTGAACAGGATCCCTTCAACTCTTCCAATGACTGAACATGTAGAGGATGAGTCCCCAAAGCAGGCAGAAAACCCCTGACCTTGGTAATCCCTAGAGCTCATGTTCACAGTCAAGTAGTCAAAATGGGAAGACCCCGCTGAACACCTAGAGCACTTGAGAGATACCCCAACAGGTATTGTGCTAGAAAGCTAAACTAGGTACTATAGACAAAGCTTGAAAACAAGCTTAGCTCATGCTCATCTGAAAATAAATTAAATGCCTGTAAGAACAAAACTCAACACTCTTTAAAGGAAGAAAACAAAATTCAGAGACTCAGCAACACAACATTCATAATCTCTTAATGTCCAATCAAAAGTTACTGGATAGCCAGGCACAGTGGCTTATGCAGAGATCAGGAGGATCATAGATCAAGGCCACTATGGGCAAAAAAAGTTAGCAAGACCCCATCTCAACCAATAAACTGGGCATGGTGGTACACGCTTGCCATCCCAGCTCTGTGAAAGGCATAATAGGAGGACTAAGGCCCAGGCCAGTTAGGGAAAAAAAAATATATGATACCCTATCTGAAAAATAACTAAAGCTCAAAAAGGCTGGGGCCATGGCTCAAGAGGTAGAGCACCTGCTTAGGAAGTGTGAGGCCTGAGTTCAAACCTCAACACTGCCAACAAAAAAAACAAAAAGCCATACACATAAAAAAGCAGTAAACTATAACATAAAATCAGGAGAAAACCTTATCACCAGATCTGCACTACAAAATATAAAGAAAATTCTTCAAGAGCTGGAGACTTGGCTCAAGCAGTACAATGCCTGCCTATCAAGCACAGCTCTCAGTTGAAACTCCAGTACCACCAAAAGAAAAAAAAAAAAAAAAAGCAAGCTCTTCAAGCTGAAGGGCAATGTCAAGTCTCTCCCTCTCCAAGCCCTCATCACCCTATTCTCTTGCAGAGCTCCACACTCACAGCCTGCTCCTCTCTCCTTCTCCATAACTGGGCTCACCTGCTAGCCATGAGCTCAACCTTTACCAATGCAGTCTTGCCTGTTTCACCTGCACACAAGTTAACTCTTATGTCATTCCATGTCATTTACTTTGCTTCACTAACTAGGAAAACAAAGAGTGCAAGGTGTGAGAGCCGAAGGGGCGTCAGGTGTGGGGGAGAACAGCCTACCTCCGAGGAAGGAGGAGACTTTCCTGGAAACCAAGCAGGCCAGAGTCACAGCTGTCCTGCAACACTGTCACAGCTTGCACACTAGCTTTCAGGGCCTCTCTCAGACTGCAGGGAAGGACTATGGGACTGATTCACAGCAACCAAAAACATCCCCTGAAAAGTGAATACAGCACAGCACAGAGCCAGGTTCAGGAAACCTGGATTGTACTCAAGCTCTGCCACTCAACAGCTTATGTATAATTCACAGCAGCTGCATGAGACAGGTTCTGTTAGGATCTCAGACAGGTTACGCTGCTTCCAGAAGGTGAAGCATTAGGGAGTGGCAAAGGCAGAGGTGTGGACCCAGGTCCCTACACCACACTGCCTCTTTAGGAACACATCACACCTGGTGCACTGGGGCACACAGCCCAGCAGCATCCAGCAGGAGTCAAGACACTGAGGTAAGCTCCGACCACAGGTACAATGAGAGCATGGTTGGGGCGGGGACAAGAGCTCCCATGTTGGCTCTGGTTCTCGTTGGTTCTGACCGGAGACAGGTCATTACCTTGCCTTCTAAGGGAGGAAAGGCAGACGACTAGAGTTACTAGGGCTCCATCCTCCATAACTAAAGGACTATAATGCAGTTTGCAAACATGGAGAGAAAGATCTGGCATCTTACAAGCCACACAAAATGAGACCCAATGATGAACAAACAACACCACCAGATGTTCAAGGAAACAGAAGGAAGCTGCAGAGAAACCCTACCTGGGAAGTGCTGGGGGCTCCTGAGGGACTTCGGCAGCCCCTGCAGTTCCTGGAGCCTCTGCCTCTGAGCCGTGGACAGCCTCCTGCTCAGTGCTCTGGGGGCCTAGAGACTCCGCTTTCTCCTCTTCTCGAGGCCCACCCAATTCTGGAGTAGAGTCAATCTCTATTTCCTGAACTGGGACTGGAACTGGTTCCTTCTCAGCAGCAGCAGATACCACCGCCTTGGCCTCTTCCTTTCTTCTGATTTTCTCTTCAAGTTCCTTCCTCCTCTTCTCATCATCCTGACGGGCCATGTGATCAAAGGTTTTAAAGACCTAAAATCAAACAGCAATCCAGCAGTCGGTTCATCTGCCCAGTACTGAACCATACATGTAGCAAAATCTGCTAGATACAGAAGTAAAAACCAGTAGAGCAAATGGCAAAGTACTACAACTTCATCAAAAGCTGACGGGAAAACATACTTCTTAGGAAGGTTCTAACATCAACAAAATGAAAAAAAAATAAATAAAAGCCAAAGCTAATACTATTTACACACCTAAAGGCTGCAAAGCTAGATTAGATGGTCTTAGTTATCGTTCTTTTTCCTAGCCCCAACCTGGTTCCTAATGCAAAGAACATGCTGTCCTGATACTGTGGGTATGCGAAGGTGCTAATAACTCAAAAAGGTGCTGAAACTCAAAAAATGAAGGATGAAAGGCTGGATGCATTGCTCAAATGGTAGAGTGCCTGCCTAGCAAGTGTGAAGCTCTGAGTTCAAATCCCAGTACCTCAAAAAAGAAGGGAGGGAGGAAAGGAAAATTTAGTTGAACTTCAATCCACAAAATGCTCCCAGAATGACTCTGCTGCTAGCCTTCCCACTGTGAGAACTGAGGGGGGGAGGGATGGGTATTCCATCCTACAAACACCTACTATGTGCCTACAGTGTGCAAAACACACAAAACAAATTAAAATGACAGCTCCTGCCTTCTAACAACTTGAAACTCTGGTGTATGGACAAGTCCTTAAACTTTTCTGGGACACAGTCTTATCCAAAAAAGTGCTGGGACCTCTCCACCAAAAAGTACCAGGGGCTGGGGTGAAGCTGAATGGTGGAGTGAGTGACTAGCACAAGCAAGGCCCTGGGTTCAATCCTTGGTATTCCAGGGGAAAACAAAAAAAGTATAGTTAAGACAGACCCATATACAACAACTCTGACACAAGAGAGGCACAAGGGAGCCCCTGTCAGACTGTAGGTGGGAATGAGTATTTCTGGTGAGAGAAATCTAAGGAGGAAGGAAGGGGATCTCAACTGGACCTTCAAGAAGAGGCACATATTTCACAGGGACCAATGGGGGAAATGCAACAGCTCCAGGAAGGAGGCTCACCAGGAAACAGCAAGAGGGCTGGGGGCACGGCTCACCAAGTGGACAGCTGGCATATTAAGTGCAAGGCCTTGATTTCAAACCCCAGTACAAAGGAGAAGGGAAAGGAAGGAAAAAAAAACAGCAAGAGTCTGTGGAGTTGAAGCTGGGGAGGAGAGACTACAGGCCCAGCCTGGGACATAAGGTAATAGACTCCCAAGGGCTAGAGTGCGGCTGGCATTCGATAACAGTGTCTGTGCACCACACAGGAGGACAGAACAAAGGACAGGTACTAACTTATAATTTATGAACTGTGCCACAGTCTTCAGAAATACCCACCCAACCCTCACAAAAATCCTAGAAAAATAAGGCTCAGAGGAGGTAACTTGCTCATCATCTTGTCAGTGAAAAAAGACAGTAAAAACTTACACAGAACACACCAGTGAAAGGCAATGTAGGCAAAGGAAAATGTTAAATTCCTGAAAAGTTAAAAACCAGAGAAGACCCAAACCCATTTCTACTGTGCAGATACCCTGAAGCCCTGACTCACTTCTCTACAATCCATGGTGACAAGGGTTCAGGTCCTTTGCCCTCAGAGCCACTCCACATCCTGATGCCCCAGATCCTCATCTTAACCATAAAAAGCTGAGCAAAAAGAACTCTCCTCCATAACCTGAGACTTCTAACACAGGACATCCTGGGACCCCAGGGCCTTTGCTACTCAGCATGCTCGGTGTCCTCTGGACTGAAGCTTTCTCACATCACTGCGGGCCTTCCAGCTGTCACATGTTCTTAGTACTCATTCTAGAGTCCCAGATCCTGGATTGGAAGAGAAGCTGTGACCTCTGATCTACGTGTCAGCTGACAAGAGTGAATGACTCCCAAGATTTTCCAACCAGTTCTGTGAGAACAGGACACACTGGCTTCCCTGATTCTCCTTACGTCTATTAAGTGGCATTTCTCAAACTAGACTGCAGGACAAGCAGAGTTACCAACTGAAATGAATGGCAGGCCATTCTAAATACTTTCTTCTTAAAATATACTATTACGGAATGCAACACAATTCTCTCACATGGCTCCTGTGGGTGTGTTTCATGATGAACATCCACGCTGTGCAGCCCTCAGAGTTAGGAAGGAAAATGTGAGATGCTTACACTAACTATACCAACAGTCCACTCCCCAAAATATCAGGGAAAAGCTTTCAAGCCCCAGAAAGCAGCAGCCCATCTCTGCAATGCTCACAAACCCTGAGCAACCCACCTTAGGTTACAGGGAGACACAGGAAGGAGTATTCCACTATTGAATTAGGAGCGGGGGTGGGAAACACTAAAAAGTAGGTGAACAGGGTGGGGAATCAGGATATGACCTACACTAACCAGAAACAATGCTAAATTCAATACTGAATCAATCTGACACAGTATCTCATATCCCACCCCACTACAAAACCCCTGCCAATACTGAAATCACTTCACAAGCCTCCTGCCAAATGGTCTTCTGTGAATAAAAAGAGAGGTCTCAAGACTCACCCTGATCTACCCAACAAAAACATCCAAGAAATGTGTGCTTTTAAAAGTTTCTTGGGCAATGCTAGTGGCTGAGGATCACTTTCAGAAAAAAATGACACTCCTCCCAGCCATCTGATGGAGACTGTCCCCTTGGTTCCAATGCAATGTACTGCCCTTCACTGTGATTACTCCCACGGTGTCCTCATCTTTGACCCCTCTCCCTCAGACCTCTCCAGTCTCTCCATCTCCCAAAAACTCCAGTCCTATGATTCCAATAGCCTATGGGAAGGGCCTTCTGCCCTCAATCTCAAATTCAACTTGTCTAAAAGTAAACTTTTTCCCCTAAACTCAGGTGACAGTTCAGTTAATATATACCCATTATTTCAGTCACTCAAATTTGAAAGCTTGGATAACCTTTGATTCATCCATCCCCTTGCTCTGTCCCTATGCCCAGCCTCCAGCAATTCGTTAGACTGGTCTCCAAATCTTAACTATAAGAAGGTCTAAACTTTATAAATGGTTACCAGATAAATGAATGCATTACTTCTGTTGGTTCATCTGTGAAACAAGGATCAAGGCCAACCTCTAGGGTTCTTTAGGACTGAATATGATAACACCCCAGAATGAAAAATACCTGCTAATACATACTAGGCTCTCAGTAAAAGTTCCTTTCCCTCCACATCTTCCTACAAGCTGCAATCAACCTAAATAAAAGTGTTCTAGGTCTAGTACTTAAGTGATACAGCAGAAAAGTTTGTCATTAGAAAACTGAAGTTTTGAGCTCCAGCTATGATAACTAGCAGACTGTTCTTGTTACATCATTCAACTTGCTGGTAAATTCAACCTTATCTATTTCACAGAGATAGTGTGAAGATCATGTGGCAGACTTCATCAAACAACCACAATGTCCTGCTAAAAGCTACCTCCAACAGTTCTCTGGTCACTCAGATGGCACGGGAGCCACTGATAAGGATGATGAAGGATGATAAGGAGCTTGTAGCTCTGAAAGTGAACCCTAGTGGAACACCATCCTCACCCCTCACCTGACAGTCGTTACTTTGGCAGGTAGTTCCTGAAACATTTTAAGCTTGCTTTCCTCCTGCAGGCACAGAGGAGTAAGGCCTGACCATCCTGCAATTAGAAGTCTTCAGGAGGTAGCACTGAAGCACTTCATAGGTACTAGAGAACTGGGGCGCTACCATCATCATTTCAAACTCCCCAGATTCCTACAAGAGACTGGGCGATCTGCATTTCATCATCCCCAAAAGCCCCACCTCTCCTACAAAAACTTCTCCATTCCTCAACTGTCACTTCTACTCCTTTCCTTCCAACCAGCTCTATCACATAGGTGGCCTTGCCAAGTTCTCTATTCCCTTCTATGTTTTGTTTTCTTAACTGCCTCAAAAACAGAGAGACCATTATTTGAATGCCCAGTGCCTGTGGTAGCTGAGAGTATAAAATATATTCAGTAAAGCCAGGCGCTGGTGGCTCAGGCCTATAACCCTAACCCTTGAGAGGCTGAGATCAGGAGGATCATGATTCAAGGCCAGCCTGGGCAAATAGTCTGTGAGAATCCATCTCCAAAATAACCAAAGCAAAATGGACTGGAGGTGGAGCTCAAGCATTACAGCACCTGCTTTGCAAAACTCAAGGCTCTGAGTTCAAACCCCAGTCCCACCAACATATGTGTATGTATGGTGTGTGTGTGGGTGTGTGTGTGTGTGTGTGACTTACTGGAAAGAATGTACGTATATAAATGTGATTTACTGGAAAGAATGCATATACATACATATGTGTATGTATATGTGTGTATACGTATATATATGTATATGAGCATACATTCTTTCCAGTAAATGTTTATTACTACATTCAAAAGCGCCCAGTCAACTTCATTCATTAAGTGTGAATAGCGCTTCAAACATACACTGGATTCAATCCGGGATGTACAGCTTTAAGTCCAAGTCTAAGTTTAATAATCACGACGATGACTGTCTTCGATTTAGGGAGTCTCATCCCAACAGACGGCCACACCCACCCATCAACACAATGCCTGTCATCCTCGCCACCTGCCGAGCCTGGCACTTGTGTGGCGGACAGGTGTCTCCTCCCAAGAGTGTCCTTCGTCTTCTTCCACCTGGCAGCCTCCCGCACCGTGACGGGGTGCGGGGCACTGAGGGGCCCTCCACCGCAAGCTGGCTGACTCCAACCCCTAGGGATGTCCCACCCGGCCGCGGCTGTCCCCAAGGCGCTTATGGAGGCCTGGCAGCCAATGTGCGCCCCAAGTAACCCGCGACCCTGAGCGCCAGGTCGCCGCCGCCACCGCCACTCCGGGGGAGGGAGAAGCGGGACATTGAAGGGCGTGTCGGGGGTGGGGGCGAACCGGGAAGCGGCGCCGGGACCTGAGGGACTCCACTCACCTGCAGCACCAGGGCCTGCGCGGCCCCGGGCGGAAAGCCCATGCGGTCCGACGGGTGGCGCAGCAGACGGTAGAAGTCGGTCTTGCGGTAGAGGAAGCCGAAGAGCACGCGCAGAAAATCTTGGACGTTGCCCACGTGCTGCAGGATGCCCAGCAGGGCCTGGTCGTACAGCTCAGCAGCCCCGGGCTCCATGTCTCCGCCGCCCAAGGGACACTCACACACCGCGGGCGCGGCCTCAGACTGGCCGATTGACCACTTCCGGCGTGCTCGCCTAACGGCTCCCCCCGAGTCGACAAGTCCACGGAACTTCCGGCCCGGGCGGGTTCCCCTCCGCTGTCCCGGGATACCCTGCTCAGGCTCCGCTGCCCCTCTGGACTTTCCCTTGCGGAGGGACTTCACTAGAAGAGTCGGGCATGGAGTCTAATGTGGCTCCTATGCCCAAAAAGGACCGTTTTTGCTGCGCGAAGGGCGTCTGCGGCCATGTTGGAAGCGGGCGGAAGTGTTATGATGAGGGCAACGTCACGTGATCGCTTGGAAGGTTGAGGGGTTTTGTCACGTTGTTAGTGGGCCAGAGAAGGGACAATACTTGTTCTTGGGTTGTGTAGACTTCTTGTTAATAACAGCCGTGAGTCAACACGAAGGGTTGCACCAGAAGCGATTCAAGGTGACTTAAGTAAAAAGACGAGAAAAATAAGAGTGCAAAAAACTCGGTACGGACATAAAGAATGTAGTACGCCATCCCTGTGATGATATAGATGCGTCTGTGTCGGTACGTATGGTATTGATATATTGATATGCTTCATATACACTGCATACCCTCAATGCTTGGCAGAGTAGAATCTTGAAACAATCGTACCTGAGATGGTAAGGCTGGTTCAAAGACACTTGGAGGCCCCGGGCATTTAGGGACATTTTAAGAAAACGTTAAGAGTCAGATTGTTAGGGAGCATACTGAGCAGGTTGGTGCTAAACAAGATGATAAAACTGTAGATTATCTTTCCTAGTGGATAGAAACGAATGGCATCCCTACTGGACTGACATCTGCAAATATAAATAAATATATGTGTGTATATGTTGGCAATAATGGCGCCAATAGGTTTCAGTTCTTACTGCACCCTTAAGCTCCTGTTTTCCAAGGTCACAGTCCTGCCTCAAGTCTAGCTTGAATCCTCCTTCTGCCCCAACCTCCAATCAGCATGAACCATAAGATCCTAACCAATCAGATCATGCTGAGTCCCACTGAGGGGTATTTAAGCCCCTGCCCCTCTCTCCCTCACTCTCTTGGCTCTCTGCTCTCTCCCTCTCCCACCCGGCAATAAAGAATCTCCTGGCCAGATCACTCCTCTCCATTTTGGGGCCCACATTTCCTTACAGTATACATATGTATGTACACAGAATATATAGACTAATGAATTTTAAGTAAAATCAAACCGGTAAGAGCTGAGGATTTGGCTCAAGTGGTAAAGCACCTGCCTAGCAAGTACAAGGCCCTGAGTTCAAAATCCCAGAACTGCAAAAAAAAAAAAAAGTCAAACGGGTAAACTGCCCTAGAGCAGTGATTCCAAAATTTTTTTTTTACCTAAGACCCATTTATGCCTTTAAAATTTGTTGATGACTCCAAAGAACTTTTGTTTATGTTGGGTTTGCTTATCATATTTACCTTAATGGAAATTAAAGCTTAGAAATACCTGTTCATTTTTGAATAACTGTAAAAACATATCACATGTTAACATACTTTTTTTAAAAAATGCTCTTTAGGGGCTAGTGAGGTGGCTCAAGAGATAGAGTATCTACCTAGCAAGCATCAGGCCCTGAGTTCAAACCCCAACCCTGCCAAAAAAAGAAAGAAAATGTTCCTTAACACAATAAAAACTGAGTGAGAAAAGTAGCATAGTTTTACATTTTTGCAGATTTCTTTAATATCTGGTTTAACTGAAGAATAATATCTGGTATCATCTTCACATCTGCTTCTGCACTCGTGGCATTGCAATATTTTTTTTTTCTGGTAGGACTGGGTTTTGAACTCAGGACTTGCCGCTTTCAAACCTGGTACTCTATCACTTTAGCCACAGCTCTGGTTATTTTGGAGATCCAATCTGGTGAACTATTTGGTCAGGCTGACCTGGAACAGTAATTCTCCTGATCTCAGCCTCCCAAGTAGCTAGGATTACAGCTGTGATACTATTTTGATTGAAGCAAATGAACAAACCCAATCTCTCACAGATAGGTAGTTGAAAATGACTGTTTTGTCTTTTTCAGTCAACTCGAGTATTAATCCTTAAAATACATCAAAATTCAACAAGTTGTTTCTGAAAAGTAACTTGCAATATGAAATCTAAAACCATATTGATAGACGTTTTACCCTGTTACATTAATATTTACTGGTCTATCCTGAAGTTTGAATGGATCTTTACTTAAATGCATGATTTTGTACCATCACGAGCTGGTCATATGGAAACATTACTCCTCTATGTTATGCAGCTCTTCCAAATGGTTTTTCATTTTGTGTTAAAGTATCAAAAAGTCACAGTCGTTATATCACCCCTGACCTCCTCAGAGAAGTCTTTAATTACTGGGAAGCTGTCAGCCCATAGTAGAAACTTGAATATTGGCAGGAAACACTGTTGCTTGTTTTCCTGAAGGTGACAGTTTCAATTCATTCTGTCATTCAGTAAAAATGCTGTTCCATGAAAAAAAGGGTCAGCTCACTCAAGGGTGCTTCATTCTGTACAGGTGCATAAAAGCAACCACTGAGGGTGGGCAGGGTGGCTCACACCTGTAATTCTAGCTGCTAGGGAGGTGGAGATCAGGAAGATCACTGTTGCAGGACAGCCTTAGCAAGAAGTTAGTGAGACCCCATCTTAACCAATAGCTGGATGTGGTGGCACGCGCCTTTCAGCTCTGCTATGGGGGAAGCATAAACAAGTGGATCAAGGTCCAGGCCTGCCAGGCATAAACACTAGACCCTATCTCAAAAATATCCAAAGCAGCCCGGTGCTAGTGGCTTACTCTTGTAATCGTAGCTACTCAGGGGGCAGAGATCAGAAAGACTGAAGTTCAAAGCCAGCCCCAGCAAATAGTTTTGAGAGACCCTATCTCGAAAAAATCCAACACAAAAAAAAAACAGCTGGTGGAGTGGCTCAAGTGGTAGAGCACCTGCCTAGCAAGTGTGAGACCCTGAGTTCAAACCCTAATACCACC